TTGGGCCTCTCCCACTCCCATGTGCAAGGCACCGCGCTTCCTCAGTCAGGGTAAAGGAGGTAGCATGCAACAGAGCTGGACTCATTCCCCTACACTCCAATTCCTGATCTGTTGCCTTTTTTGCAGTCTTCTACACTCAGAAATAGGGCATACCATATAGCCTCTTACACCTATCCCATTTTACTTCACGGGTCACTTTGTAAATTGTGTGTTGTGTTCTCCTAAATATAACACATCATTCCTGCGAGCATTTCAAGCACATAAAGAAGAAAACTGGTAAGTACTTTATAAATGTAATGTTAGTAACTAGGCAGCTGAATAGATTTAGATGATTGTTACTGCTACCTTTCATCCCAAAATGCAACCATCGTTCAATTAAGATACCACCATAAAAATAACTTTCATTTATCTATAATGATTTGTTATGTACACCAGTTATTTACTAATTAAAACTGTTATGTCACTCTGCCCTTTTGAATTTGTATAAGGGACTCAAGCCCAAAATCTGTTCATTTCTCTGTTCAAATTGTTTAGCAAACTTTGTTTTCCTTTAAGTAAAGCATTGATTGCAGGATGATGTTCTGCTTGACAGTTTGTCACCTGGAGATTAATTAAATGCATTATTCATTTACTGCAAGTAATGATGTGTGAAACACTGACCTTTTAAAGACATTTTCCTATAAAATGTGATTTTGTAAGATTTAAGGAAAGGAAAACTGGATATGTAGGAAATTGTTCCACCAGGAACACTTACCTCCATATGGACTAAAAATAACTTGTGTGGCTTAACCTGCAGTATGGATTTAATTGCTCATGCATAATAAATATATTGATTTTTTGCTTCTGTAGGGCTTTGCCTATTATGTATGCTGTAGCACTTGACCTTCGAATTTTTGCTAATAATGTAAGTAGACAGAAAACTTGAAGTTTAACAATTTCATGTACTCTAGCTGTCAATAAGGAATTTATTTGACTGTGAAGTGTCTTAAACTTTCAGCCTTTGCTTAATCTTATCTGTGTTCTCCCTTTTATGTAAGGATGTGTTACAAAATAATTAGGGTTGTCAAGTAATTAAAAAAAATTAATCTCAATCAATCACACTGTTAAACAATAATAGAATACCATTTATTTAAATCTTTTTGGATGTTTTCTACCTTTTCAAATATATTGATTTCAATTGCAATATAGAATACAAAGTGTACAGGACTCACTTTATTTATTTTTGATTACAAATATTTGCACTGTAAAAAAGAAAAGAAATAGTATTTTTCAATTCACTTAATACAGATACTGTAGTGTAATCTCTTTATCATAAAAGTTGAACTTACAGATGTTACTCCAGGAGGAAATTCTGCTTGAAAAAATTCTGGGCACAGTATTTTAAAATTCTGCAAATTTTATTTGTCAAAATAATACTATATAATCACGCCAGTTTTAATTATTTTGATAATTCATTTCAAAATACCTGTCAGCAATACAGACACACAAAAAATTCCCCCAGGAGTAGAGAATTAAAGAAACCCCTATGACAACCCAGTTCCTGTTTCTCTGCCCCCTCCCGCAAGAACCCAGCTGGGGGGCCAGACACTCACACCTATTCCTCCCCCCAGAGCCCAGCTATGCCCCCCCTGTCCAGCCCAGACACTCACACTCCCTTCCCCCCCTGAGCCCAGCTGCAGGGCCTTCTCTGGCCCAGACACTCTCATCTCCTGTCCTCCTAGAGGCCAGGGATACAGAGGCAGAAACAGCGTAATGCTGGGTCCTGGGCTTGCAGGGTGTTTCCTGTGCGCCGCCGCTTCCTTCAGGGTATGTTGGGAACTGCAACTGCTGGGAACTCTCCAGTTCCCTCCCCCGGCACTGTCTTCTATTTGCAAGCTGGGGTCTGCTGGGTACAGCCACCCCTAGTGGCGACCAACATCTCTGCAGCCAATTTTGGGGGTGGGGAGGGGGAGAGAAAATTCTGCACCCACAACACTAATTTCTGCAAAATTCTGCATTGTGCATTGGTGCAGAACTCCACCAGGAGTAAAATGTAGAATTATGTACCAAAAAACCTGCATTCAAAAATAAAACAATATAAAACTTTAGAGCCTACACGTCCTCTCAGTCCTATTACTTGTTCAGCTAATCGCTCAGACAAACAAGTTTGTTTACATTTGCAGGAGATAATGCTGCCCGCTTCTTCTTTACAATGTCACCTGAAAGTGAGAACAGGTGTTCGCATGGCACTGTTGTAGCTGGCATCTCAAGATATTTATGTGCCTGATGCACTAAAGAATCATGTGTCCCTTTCATGCTTCAACCATTTTCCAGAGGACGTTTGTCTTAGCGATTGGCTGAACAAGTAATATGCCTTGTTTTGTTTTTGAGTGCAGTTATGTAACGCACAAAAAAAATCTACATTTGTAAGTTGCACGTTCACCATACAGATTGAACTACGGTACTTGTATGAGATGAATTGAAAAATACTGTTTGTTTTGTTTATCATTTTTACAGTGCAAATATTTGTAATAAAAAATATAAAATGAGCACTGTACACTTTGTATTCTGTGTTGTAATTGAAATCAATATATTTGAAAATGTAGGAAAAAATTTAAAAATATTTCATTTCAATTGGTATTCTATTGTTTAACAGTGCGATTTAAAACTGATTAATCACGATTAATTTTTTGAGTTAATAGTGTGAGTTAACTGCAGTTAATCAGCCCTAAAAATTATATATACTCAGAGTTTCACCCTTATTCTTGCAATAATGTAAGTTGCTTATTCTAACCACCTCTTATTTTTGGCCCGGACCCTGGGAGGTGCTGAGAACCTGCAAGTCTCTCTGATGTCAGTCTAGGTTTCTGATGTGATTTATGGTTCAGAAAAGCTCTGTGGGGTATGCCTTAATTGCCTCAGTAATGCTTTTACTCCCTGGCTTCGTGATTGGGTAGAATTTTCTCCAAGAAACTTTTTTTGAAATAGATTGGGTCTCCGTGGTGGACCATGGTGGTAGTTTATATTGCAGTGGGGAAAAACTTCATTTCTGCCTGGAGTAGGAAATGGTCTGAACAGGGTAGTAAGTAGATCCTATATTTTATGACCACATCCAGCCTGAGGATCATAGAATATCAGGGTTGGAAGGGACCTCAGGAGGTCATTTAGTCCACCCCCCTGCTCAAAGCAGGACCAATCCCCAACTAAATCATCCCAGCCAGGGCTTTGTCAAACCTGACCTTAAAAGCCTCTAAGGAAGGAGATTCCACCACCTCCCTAGGTAACCCATTCCAGTGCTTCACCACCCTCCTAGTGGAAAAGTTTTTTTTTCTAATATCCAATCTAAACGTCCCCCACTGCAGCTTGAGACCATTACTCTTTGTTCAAGATCCAATCTTGATAAAGCCGTTTATGTATTTGGGCCCATATATTACCTGTAAGAAACCTGAACTGGAGGGTCTGTAAGGGAGTTTTTGGTTTATCGGACTGGAGAAGTTTGTACACTGATTGGATTGGTGTTATATGAGAGTTGACGGGGCATTTGAATAGATATATCTTCAATAACAAGGATGAGTCTCCATTTCTTTTTTTGGCCTGTTTCCATTTTTTTTAGGGTAGTTAAAAGTGGGGAAAATGTAAACAAAAGTCAAAATTAAAACAACGCTTAATTCACAAGGCAAATTCCAGTTCATATTAAGGCCATTGGTTTGTCTTTCTTTATCCTTACTCAGAGATAAAGTTGTACTTTAGTTAATCCACCTTTCAGATCTCTCCAGTCTTATGTGTTATGTTGCCAACTCATGATTTTATCATGAGCTTAGCAATATTTGGTGTTTTTCTTTAAGTTCCAGCACCTGGAGTCCTGTGAATTTCAGCTTTCATTTACAAGAAAAATTGCTGGCCCTCATAGTTGCAGAGAGAGCTTGAAAAAGTGAACCCTGAGGGCTCATACACCAGAAGGCAAATTAAAAGAACCCAAATTTATTTTTTAACCAACTTTTATTTTTTGGGGGTGGGGGTGGCATGAGTCATGATTTTTTTGAAGGCTTGTGGTTGGCAATACATAGGGTGACCATATTTTCCCAGCGGGAAAATGGCACACCCGTGGGCCGGGCTGAGCCCCAGCGCGGGGACAGCCCAAGCCATCCCTGAGGGCCCCCAGCCTCCCTGTGCGCAGGGTTGCCAGAGGTCACCCCTTGCCTCCCCACGCTTGGGCCAGCCTGAGTCCTCCTTGCCTCCTGTCCATGCAGTGCCAGCCTGAGGTTAATGAGCGGGGGGTGTTCAGAACCTCCCAAGAGATACTTTATTACATACAGTATGTTGGGGTGACAGGTGTAAGGAACTTACCTCTTTACTTTACAAGATACTATGTTTAAAGAACTAGTCTACTTTTTGCTTTTAAAAAATGAGCCTGGACGTAGGAATACATGATGTCTCTCTCACCTTGCATGCTAGGCCGATCAACAGCTGGTGAAGAAAGGGAAAAGCAAAGTTGGTGACATGTTGGAAAAAGCAGCAGAATTGCTGATGAGCTGTTTTCGCGTCTGTGCCAGTGACACGTGAGTGAAAGATCCTTTCTTGATCTTGTGTTGAATCATTAAGAAATGTAAATAACTTTACCCATTTGCAAAGAATGAGAATTACCGTATATATGCGATCATAAGCCAGTTCGTTTATAAGCCTACCCCTCCTCCAGGTGGATACGTAAAAATGGAAAATTTTTATAACCCGTTCATAAGCCAACCCTATAATTCAGGGGTCAGCAAACTTTGGCTCCCAGGCCATCAGGATAAGCCGCTGGTGGGCCGAGATGGTTTGTTTACCTCGAGCGACCGCAGGCTCTGCGGTAAACTGTCCCCGCATGCCAGCTGCTTACCTTGACGGGCTGGGACAGCAACTAGTGGGGAAATTTTTGGGGCGGGGAGAAGCTGGGAGTCGGGGAGTAACCCCTGTGACCACCCCCTACATGACCCCCACCCCTAGCCTGTGATCCCCACACTCTCCCCATCCCATCCTTTCCCACTTATCTGGGGAGGATCAGGGGAGGATGTCTCTGGCTTGGCTGGAGCTGCTCCGGCAGGCTGGGCAGCGTGCCCACAGCCTGCTCCAGCAGGCCAGACCAGGCTGCATGGCCGCAGCATGTTCCAGTGGGCTAGGTGGCTACAGCCTGCTTTGGGGGGCGGGGCCAAGCAGCACGGCTGCAGTCTGCTAGCCCCGGAGCTGCAGCTGCTTTGGAGGCTGGGGGGGAGAGCAGTGTGGCCAGAAGCAGACACACACTGGCCCCGCCTCTTCCCTTCTGGCTGTGCTGCCTCTCCTTGCTTCCTCTGTTGCAGGGAGGGGCTGTGTCCCACCTATCCCTCTCTAACCCGTTCATAAGCTGACCCCCTTCTCTGGTGCTTCCCTTTTTTACTAAAAAAATTCTGCTTATGAACGAGTATATACGGTAATTCTCTCCACTAAGCAAGACCATATCTGGGTCAGGGCAGTCACTTTTGTTGCCTGCCTTCTTCCCTTCATGCTGTGTTCTCTCCTGAATATCAACTACAGTTGGAGAGGCTTCTCTTTAGGCTTGATATTCTTAGCAGGAATTGCAGAAGAGACTAATTTACATCCTGGTCTCTCAAGGCAAACCATTAACTCTTTGTCCTGTTCCAGTGTGGAGTTTGTACATGCCATCACAGTGAGACTGGGAGAGAGGGAGTTTTACTTCAGTCTTCCATTCTTAAGACTTTTAATGTTCTCAACATGGAGAAAAGGCTTCTTCACTCTCTCAGGCGCATGCTACATACAGGTGTGCAGAAGGCCACAGGAGGGGAATTCCACTGTAGTGAACCCCAATCTCTCTCTATTGCAGTATGTCTTGTAGCCTCTATCATAACAAGTATGTAAAGTCTGGAGGAGGACAGCCTTAAGTTATTTAAACTTCTGTCATTAGCTTAAAATCCAGGGAAACTCCTAAATAAAAAACTTAAGATCACTCAAATATTTCCTATCAACACAATCACAGGGAAATCTCCAGCTAAGTAGCATTAGCATACACAAAAGTCTAAAATTACTCTTCAGACCTCCCAGATATCGTAATATCAAAGCACACTTAGATTTTTCTCCTGTACAACAAGCTCCCTTTCAGTTCCAGTGTGCAACCACTCAGATGCACACATCATGTTCTTCAAAATCTCATCCAAATATACAAACTTAACTCCAGTCTGAGTATTTTAAGAAGAAATAAATGCTATGAGTATTTCAGAGTAAAATCATGTCTCTCTTGAAGATATCTTTCATCTTGCTGTGATTGGAGTTAAGGTTGTGCATTGAGTGAAATTCTGAGGAGATGGACGTGTACGTTGTTGGTGGCTATATATCTATATCTATCTATCTATCTATCTATATATGTAGGAAGTGTGTAAATGGTAAGACAGGTGACTTGAAATTGGGGTGGATACCCTTGTTGTCTTATCAAGTGACTTTCTTGATTTGAAGTGATTGCATTGATGGGGGAACACAATTGAGCAATCTTAAAATTAACAAAGATTATAGAATGGAAATGGGATTGGACGCTTTGTTTTGATGAAGATTGTATGGTCTAAAATTTACAAGGAATTTTTGGCTTGTTTTTGTTTGATATTAATGTAAGACCATTTGTTTTAAAAATATGGATCAAAGGCGTGTGAAGGGAATTCATTCTAAAAGCAAAATATGTATTTTCCTAAAACATTCATTTCTAATATTTTATCTTTTGTAACAGTCGAGCTGGCATTGATGACTCCAAAAAGTGGGGCATGTTGTTTCTGGTGAATCAGCTGTTTAAAATCTATTTTAAGGTATGATCCAAGTCTACTAAGTTTGTTTTCTTTGTATTTCATGTTCTAAATCAAGTCCCATTTCACATCGTGCTACATTGATATACCTTTCAATCATGTGACTTTCTTCTCAGATTAACAAACTTCATCTATGTAAACCATTAATTAGAGCTATTGACAGCTCAAATCTGAAAGATGAGTACAGCATGGCACAGAGAGTTACGTTCAAATACTACGTTGGACGCAAGGCGATGTTTGACAGTGATTTTAAGCAAGGTACTATATGCCAGTAGAACAGATTTATATTCTTACTGCTGGGAGTGAACACCAGCTGATGTGTTTTATGTGTGTGACTCAAAACCTGTCGTTCGGTCAGTGCAAAGACAAGATCCAAAGGGATTTGCTGCAGGCTCAACCAGATTAGAGTATGGATTACATTACAATTCTAATTGCAACATGTAATCAGTCTTGAACTATTTACATCTCCAAACTCTTCTTTAGCATACACTTTATACATTTGGTACACACGTTACTAAAATGTGTTTTCTGGGTGAGTGTCCAGCAAGGTACCTTGTGATTTATGTATATGAGAGATGTTTACAGCTTTCTTGCCCTTTTGGATGTCGCTTGTGCATCAGACTTTCAACAAACTGTACCATACAATTTAGCTTCTTGGTGCATTGATGTTGAAGATACATTGTAGCTTTATTTAACCTTTCTCAGTAATAATATTATATGAGACTTTAGGGTAGTGGCTCTCAACCTTTCCAGACTACTGTCCCCCTTTCGGGAGTCTGATTTGTCTTGCATACTCCCAAGTTTCACCTCACTTAAAAACTACTTGCTTACAAAATCAGACATAAAAATGTCACAGCACACTATTACTGAAAAATTGCTTACTTTCTCATTTTTACCATATTATTATTAAATAAATCATTTGGGATATAAATATTGTACTTACATTTCAGCATATAGTAGATAGAGCAGTGTAAACAAGTCATTGTATGAAATTTTAGTTTGTACTGACTTTGCTAGTGCTTTTTATGTAGCCTGTTGTAAAACTAGGCAAATATCTAGATGAGTTGATGTACCCCTTGGAAGATCTCTGAGTACCCCAAGGGGGACAAGTACCCCTGGTTGAGAACCACTGCTTTAGCTAGACTGTGCAGCCTTCACTCATGTTGGTGGGTGCTGGGGCTACTTGCTTGAGTGCCCCATGAGTAAGGTTGCACAATATAGCCCTTTGCAAATAAGGACATTTCCAGTCCTTTGCTCGTCAGTCTTTCATAGTCACTTGCACAACTTGGGCGTATGTTTACACATTATATGCCATCTGACTTCCCTGAAGAAGAGCCCTAACACATACATTTGGAAAATGTCATAGCATGTAGAAACGTAAACATCCTGAAATTTTCCCTCTCCTATAACAGTAACACAATAACCTTGCTATATTGAGTTGGAATTTTTTTCATAATGTAGTTTGATTGTGCAACTGCTCCATCTGAAATGTAGTGTCAGCATATCTTTTAAAAAGGACACCATTTTTATGCTTTTGCCCCATCTTCAGTGAATCCAACAATTCTTAAGGCATTTATGTTTATATTACCCTTTTAGTTAGTGTGCAATTTAGATTGACTTAGTTCCTGTGTGAATACTTCTAGGTTATTGTAAATATGGGAGAAAATGTTTTGACAGGCTCGGTTAAACATATTATTTATTTGTATATTTAACTCATTTTTGCTGTTGGTCTCCATTACCAACAGCAGTGCTGATCCTCTTTCTGTGTCTACAGCTGAAGAGTATCTGTCATTCGCCTTTGAGCACTGTCACCGTTCAAGTCAGAAAAACAAAAGGATGATTTTGATTTACCTTTTGCCAGTAAAAATGTTATTGGTGAGTGGTTTAGCTCTCTACTTCCAAATCAGTCACTGTGGGAGAAATGACCAAGCTGACACACACTACAGCATGACTTCCCCTGATTTTTATTCAGAAGCTGTCTGGAGCCCTATCCAGACACAGGTGTCAGCTCGTGCAGACCTTGTATGGTCAAAGCCGAGAAGTATGGTTTGTCAAGCACTTACTTGAAACTGGTGAATTGTAATTTTTGTAATTGCAGAAAAGGGGGGTAAAAATTACAACCCTAAAATTTTTTTTTGAACTTGTAAATTATCCTGATAAATAATAAAAAGTATGATTCCCCACACTCTTCCTAATTCCAAATTCTGCTCCTAGCTTCATAGCAACAAAGACACCCATAGCATTGTAAATGGTGCGATTTCAGTGTATAAGAGGAGTGCAGTATTGTAGCTCCATAGCAGTCCCCTGTGTAAGTGTGGACGGGGGGGGAGAGAGTGGGTACAGGTCCGTCAGGGCAGATTCTTCCATTTTCTCACCCCACAAGAGGAAGAGTGTATGTAAAGGCCTGCATAGTCTACTTGAGCAGGTCCACAGCCTGAAGAGGAAGGATTCTTTCCTTCATGCCCCTCCCTTACCTGGTGTGTATATACCCTCTGAAGATGGGTGCTAGAGGAATTGCCAGGTAGAGAACTTCAATCCTGATGTTTGATGAATTCACTCCTTTCTTTTTTTTTCCCAATCTTGGAGCTTTTTTGAGCAGTCATGACTAATTACATTAAATGAGGCAGTCTTGTGAAATGGGAATGCTAAACCCATTATTAGTGGCATGAAACAGAAATGCAAGGCTTTTGATAACCAAATCATTTAGTACCTTAAATTACTGTCTTCTCTCTTCTAGAGCAGTTTTGCCACATAGAAAGCCCAACTTGCCAAGATTATAAGCTTCCAAACTTTACACTTATTTAAAAATGTATTAAAATAACACAAGTGGCTGTTTGTTCACTGAGAGGTAGCTAGAAACCTAGAACGCAGAGTTCTGTTTCACATCTCATCTGATTCTCCAACCAGTAAAGGATCTACCACTGGCATAGCAGCCAGGTAGCTATGTTTCAGTGCAATCTAATCTCTGTTGTGTAAATTAAAAAAACACAAATTCCTTTTTGGTACTGTGTGTGGTTCAAAGTCTCATCAGACCTGATACAATGAGAATGAGTTTTGTCTTTTCAAACTAACTTTTTTTTTTTTAAGAAAGGACATTAAGAATCCACCAGGAGAAATTACGGAAAATATGTCTGGTTAGACAATCCATCTTAACTGTGCTGACACATACATCACAGTCATGATTACTGGTGTGTGTTCTAAAACAGTTTTCTGTTTGCAGAGTGGAGTGCAACACAAGTGTAAAATTTGTAACAGTCTAGATCATGTGAAGCATGACCTAATCTGTAATACTAGTTTTATAATTGATCACACTACTATATTTGTTAAAGTTTTTAAAATCCACACTTCTGTAACTATGCCAGACAAATGTTTGTTGGCATGATTAGTGATGTAGTGTATTGGGGACCTACAAATACCTTAATTCACCTCCTTTTTTTCCTGAAAAAGTGAAGTAGATAAATGTTTGCATTTGTATTTTTGTTTTTATAGATGATTGATTTGGAAATATATTTAAACTTATCCTGAACATTTTTAACTATGCTTGCTTTTCAGGGCCATATGCCAACAATTCAGCTTTTGAAAAAGTATGAGCTTATGCAGTTTGCTGAAGTAACTAAGGCTGTGAGGTACAGTATATTTATTGGATCACGTAATTTTGTTCAAAATAGTATTAAGTGAAAGGTTTTTATAGTATGTGAAAAATATCCATTGAGTTAGATATTTCATCTTCCCAGAGTCGTACCTTCTCATGGTACTTCCATATTTTCTGTCATTTTAGTGAAGGAAATCTTCTGCTATTGAATGATGCTCTGACAAAACACGAGACCTTCTTCATTCGTTGTGGTATCTTCCTGATCCTTGAGAAGCTGAAAATCATCACCTACAGGAACCTGTTTAAGAAAGTGTAAGCGAAGTAGAAATCCTATTTTGTGGAAGGGAGATCTTCATTTGGTTTCACCACAGAATTGAATTTAAAACATCCAGGGTCCCTATTTGTCCCTTAGAGGCCAGAGCTTAAGCAAAGTGAATTATGGTAGAAGGGCCCTTTTGCTCAGAGAAGCAGAATTTTGAGCTAATTGTGCCGAAATAACTGAAATATATTTCTGTTTGCGTCTTTCAGATATTTGCTACTTAAAACCCATCAGCTATCTCTAGATGCCTTTCTGGTTGCCCTGAAATTCATGCAGGTGGAAGATGTTGATATTGATGAAGTCCAGTGTATTTTGGCTAATCTTATATACATGGTATGTGTTCACCATTCATTAGCTTGCCTTGGCAACTGGTGTTGGTAGAAATGACTACACACAACAGGAAGGTTAATTACAGAAGGGTAATAATAGGAAGTGTACTGCATTTAGGTTTTTGGGGGGCTGCTTGTGCGTTATACTTGTACTCATTTGTTTCTCTCATGTATCTAACTACAGTGAAGATTCTTATGCTCTAATTCTTGCCTTTTATATGCAAAACAGTAAGGACTGCAATTGAGTTTTCATTATAAAGCCAATCTTTGCCCTTTTGCTAAAATCTACAACCACAATTACAAAATTGGTAAATTATGACTAGGGCCGAGATAGAATATTTATACTAAATTTGAGTTCAGTTGGACATGGGATTCCTGATTTGACATCCTAAAAATAGAGGTACTCATAAGAGTTCACGAGCTGAATGATAGGGAAAAGATGTAAAAAAGGAGAGAGCTAAATGAGTTTACTGGACTCTTGTAAGGATCTAGTGCACATGAACAAAGATGAGTTAATTAAGCTCTATGTTTAAAGGTTATTAAAACTTTGGTCTTAAAATTGGGTAACCTAGGAATAGATTGGAAATTTATTTTTCTTGTAGAGACGGACCTCAAAATGTAAATTGGCAACTAGGAAGGCTTGTCAGTAACAGCAAATTCAAAGTTCATGGGCATGCTTAAGGTCCCTATGTAGCAAAGTACTATATATAGATATACCTAGCTCATAGAACTGGAAGGGACCCTGAAAGGTCATTGAGTCCAGCTCCCTGCCTTCACTAGCAAGGACCGAGTACTGATTTTTTCCCCAGATCCCTAAGTGGCCCCCTCAAGGATTGAACTCACAACCCTGGGTTTAGCAGGCCAATGCTCAAACCACTGAGCTATCCCTCCCCTCAAACTTAACTTAAGAGTGTGATTTGACTTAATAAAAATATATCTTTTATTATTATTTGAAGTCAGTGGGACTACTCATGAATTTAAAGTTAAGTGCGCGTGCGCGCACACACACACACGTTTTGCTTGATCAAGACTGAAGGTAGCAAAAAGAAACTTATTGCCAATTTTCAATACTAAAACATCTTTCTTTTTATCTCTGTCAGGGTCATATTAAAGGATATATATCTCATCAACATCAGAAGCTTGTGGTCAGTAAGCAGAACCCATTCCCTCCACTTTCTACAGTGTGTTGAGTTTACTGCACCTTAGATGGAGTATTTATAAGAGACTCTACTTGTCAATGGAACTGTTTCTCAAATCGCTCAGTGGAAACTGTTAATGACCTAGTTATGTTCAGTACTGGAATACACAAAAACTGTTCATGACTCCTTTCCCAGTGGGATAGGGCCTGCCAGCTTGACCAAGCACAGAGAACAAAATGCTTCCTTTTTAAAGTTAGTTTCTACAAACCCTGAAGTATAGTGGCTGAAAAGAAACAAGAACATTTGCAAAATTTCAGCTACTCTTTAAAAAGCCTGCCTCACCTGTCTCAAATGTCATGTGTACTGACACCCCTTTATATTCCCATAACTATTTCTGTCCTTATCTGTCAAAAGCAAGTGTCCATCGGCGACACAATCATTCTTCATAGGCAGAAACAATGCTTTTATTTCACCTGTTCTTGACTTAACTCCCAGTTATGTGAAACTTTGTTTTTGTCAGTCATCTTGGTTGGATACAACGCTCTTCGAACCCTCTTTAAAAATTAAGGACCCATGCCTGATAAGTGCTGCACCCCTGGAACCTCACTTCAATTTCAATAGGATTTATGAGTGTACAGGAGGGTGTGAGGTGTGGTTACCAAAGGCCCAATTCTGAGCAGCAATAGGTAACTGTACTTGTTAAAGTTTCCCTTTGAGGCATAAGAATTTATTTAGGCAACCTAGTCCTACTCCATTTTAATTCTGATTTTGTGGAATATTTCTGCCAGTAGGTCCATTCTTTTAAATGTTCTTTATTTTTGCACAGCTTACCTATTGTTCATGCTGGTTGTTTTGTAAAATAATAAACCAAATGTGATATTTTTCTCTTGGTGGTGACAGTGATAATTTTATTCCAGACTGTTTTAGCACCAGCACACACCATCTAAGACATTTAACTGTCTTTATAATGAAAGTTTCAATCAAATTATTATAGGTTTATAAAAAAAATACTAAAGCACCTATGAGGTAAGTAGTCTCCTAGATTGCTATTATTTTAATAGGATATTCAGGCTGTTTTCATTGTTCTATTAAGTTCTGACTTATTCTGTACCATAGGAGAACTAAAAGTTACAAACCCAGGTTGTTTTGCCATCTGCATACAACATACTTCAGTAGCACTTGAAAATAGAACTGTACTTCTGATTTCTGTGCAATTTGCATCTAATGGTGTTCAAGTGATTTAGTGTTGACATGTGAGATGGTCATTCACTTTTTTGTTTCTGCTGAAAATGATTTTGCATAGTTTAAAAATAAATTGACTCTAGCAGTGCAAAATATTATTTCATTATCAGTTCAAATATGAAGTCACTTTCCCCACTGCCAGAGCCTTTCCCTGCTGGTAGAGTCTTTGGCAGAGAAAGGTTCCCCTCCTTCTGGAGCTTTACACTGCTAAAAGTATCAGTGTAGACAGGGAGGCACTGCTTGGGCGTGTAGATATGTATCCTTGGATTCGGGCTTGCCTCATCTCTATTTTCCTAAGCCATGCCTCACCAGCTACACTGCTATTTATACCAGGGCTAGTTGGCCGTGAAGTATCTGTACCCTAAGTCATTCTTATAGTAGTGTGGGTTCATAGATCCACCTTTTGAAAGTGTCGAGGCAAGAGTGTTGGGAAAGTGTTACAAGCAGGTTGTACCAGTATGAAGAGTGTATATTTAAGGAGAGTTTGAGAGTGGATAACTAAAACATGCAGTACTAGGAAAAGAATCCAAGCCTCTTTATTTTTGAATCCCATTCCCATTGACCTTAGTGCTGTAGGATTAGTGAGGAAAATAGATGTGCTCTATTCAAAATGGCCCTCTTTCTGTAGGACAAACAAAACAGGCAGGGACTGGGTTGTGATCACTGCTCCTGATTGGCTAAGACGAGTGTACAGCCTACTCTTTCTGTAACTCCATCTCCCCTGGCTTCCACCTCAGCCCACCTGTCTCATTTACCTGTTTGTCTTGTCTTTAGCATGCAAGTTCTCTGGGGCAGGGATCATCATCTACTATCTATTTGTACAGTGCCTAGCACAGTAGGGCTTCAACCACACTGGGCAGCTATAGGCCCTACTACAATATAAATAGAGATGGTCTAAAAGCTTAGCCTGAACAGTTTCCTGTAAGAAAATGCTGTTTCATCAAAATCATTACATTTCACAAGGGTACATCCAGTGACATTTGATGGCACAGTTTCAGAAGGATTTGAATCAAAATGGAGTACTTTGTTTCAGCTGGGTTGTTCTGACTTGACTGTCCCTACTCAATAGCAAGAATGTAGAAGCAGGGCACTGCAATGAGCTCTTGTCTTGCAGCGATTTCTTTACTTTTACAAAACATACAATGAAGCATCAGCAATAATTAAAGCTAAATTACACTTGTCAGATGAACAAAGTACGTGGTAGTGATGCATTAACTTTTTATTTTGCTCAAATGGGGCAAGGTCATCAATTGGAGAGCAAGGGCCACTCTGTTGCTGCCCCTGGGGCAGCCTGCCTCAGTAGTTGTGACTTGAGGAATCACTTCACTTATGTCTGATTTTTAGACTATTCCTGTTCTAGGGTCTGATTCAGCAAATCTTTACTCAAGTCAGGGGATGCTTTGCAAGTACTTACATGAATAAAGTTGTGGAGGATTTGGCCCTATACCACAGTGAACATTACTGGTCCCTGAAACAGTAGCTGCATTTTCCCCTAGCAGTAAGGACATTTCAGTGAGTAGGGAAAATGATTGTGTATTAAAAATAAATGAATCAGTAAAAAATTTTAAGGTCTCTTAGGATCAGCTTAGATGAACAGTGCTGTACAAATTCAAACTCATTATTTTCAAAGTGAAGTAGCCACATGTCTACTACACCGGTCCTCAATTCTGTCTTTGGAAAGAGAATGGACTTTGTTTTTGAGGGATGAACTACAGATAAATATTTACAGTATTAACATTACAACACAATACAGGCTGACCTTGCTGAAACCAGTCCAATTGCTGCATCCAAGTGGTCTTTGTAATTGCAGTTATGGATTTGGTGCTGTGGGGACTTTCTTTTATTCAGTTTTTCGTTTGAACCACATCATATATCTTGAAGTCTTTGTGAAAATAAATGGTTCCCAGTTACTTACATTAGTTGGCCAAGCTCCAAAAATACCTGTCAGAAACCAAGTGCCTTTGTAGTCATGGGCGATAAAGTTTCCTCCTGCCAGCTGCCAGTCCACAGGCTCTGGGTGATGTCCGCAATACTGTCTGTTCGTAAGACTTGTATTGAGTATTTGTTCACATTCCCTTTCAGCAAGGTAGGAAACCTGCAACTCAACTAGTGAACCTCTCACCTCGCTTTCTTCCAGTTTCCAGCCACTGACAGTGCCTGCCAACTGTGGAATCAAAACATGTTCTGCAAAGTCTTTGTCAGGAAGACATATAGGATGGTGGTAGTTGTTGCACTCAATGTGCTGTCCGAGTTGTAGCAATGCAAGGTTATTCTCACCAGTAGCTTCATCGTACCACATATATATGTGTTTCTCATTCACATCTATTACGTGTGCAGCTCCATGCATCCTGTTATTCCCTGTGAAGTTATGACATGTTCACTGCTCTTAGAAATAGTTTTAGCATCTTTCACCAAAGGTGAACACAGATTAATTGCTAATAGTTAGGGGAGCTATGCTGCCAACATAGCTACCATCATTACTGTGAAATAAGGGTATGATAAAGGCAGAAGCTGGTAGTAGGTGTTGATTTTACAGCAATTAAGCACATCAGATCCTGGTTATACAAATTTTGAAGATGCTTTTTAACTCTTCAGGAGCATACAGGTGTGAGTGAATAGGAAGAAACTATAATTTCAGGATGACAAAATAAAATATACAATAAAAATGGGGGTGAATGAACATTGCCAATTGCTCCCTATAAGTAAAATATTTTAAATGCGGACACTGTTTCCTAGGATAGACAGAATGTTCTGAAATGGCAATTTTTATATGTAAACTCTTTGAAAGTATGCTTTGACAACACAAAAATGTAGATTGACAATGGGGGGGGGGTTGAGGAGAAAGCTTGATCACTTACCAGTCCTAACCCTGATATCACAATGATTGTGCAAAAGGGCACACTCAGCTGTAGTCAACACGAAGTTGCTCTTCACAAGAACACCTCCACAGAATCCCTTTCCTTCTGAATTTAGCAACAGGACCTACAAAACAGTAAATTCTGCTGTTTTTAACTTTGTACAGGGCCATCCTCAGGATTGGTGGGGCCCTGTACCGTATTATTAAACTGGTGCCCCCATGCCTGACAGCAGCCTGGGGAGGGGGAAGGGACGAGTCAGCAAAGGATACCAAGATGCCCAGCCTGCCTCACAGCAGCGGAGACTCACGTTTCCCTGCAGAGACCCCCCGTACCTTCTCCCTCATGCAGAATGTGCAGCGCCAACGCATTAGGCTGTGAATTCGGCCCCTGCCTAAGGAGACTGCAGTGCGTGCTGGGTGTGCATGAGCCGACTTGCTCTTACCTACTGTCATGGGCAGTTGGGTGAAGCTGCCACTTGGGAGGTTAGCTCCCCAGCCCACTTCTGCTTGTGGCTCCATCCATACTCCATTCCTGCTCTTCCCCAGGCCCTGCCCTATTCTGCCCAGGCCTTTCCCTCTCCCCACTGTCTCCCTTCTTTCTTCCCTCCCCCACCCTGCTCACCCCTTCCAGCCAAATCCATGAATCCAAATGAAGCAAATGACATTTGAAAAAACCTCACTCTTCTGCAATTTCTTTCTAAAGAAAATGGAGCATATGTTCCACTGCATGCCAGATGGTGAAGACTGGACATTAGGGTGACCAGACGTCCCGATTTTATCGGGACTGTCCCGATATTTGCTTGTTTGTCCCACGTCTCAACCAATGTTAGGTCAGGACAATGGAGAAACAAGTAAAGGCGCCAGAGCCCGGAAGGGCTCGTGCTCCCCCGCCCCCACTCCACCCTCTCCTTCCCCCATTGGCTCCCTCCCCAAATCCCC